TCTCTCTCTTCTCTGGTGATATTAGAAGGTGGTGGTTTGGCGTTGCTGAGACAGGCTGAAACTTTATTCCTAAGTTGCTCTGCTTCAAATCCTAGGATTTTGTTGTTTCGAATGGCTGATTCTGTGGCTGTAATCATCTCAACCAGAGGGATTCTTGTTGGTGCGACCGCAAAGTTCAGTCCCCTGGCAAGGATTTCAGTTTCTCTCAGTTTTCTACAGCTCACCCAGCCAGAAACTGAAATCTGCTACACGCTTCATGAACTGTCATGACTGGAGGTGAATTGTGGAAAATCTCCTCCAATGTGTAGGCAATCTTATCTTAGGCAATCTACAGAWTTTTCCTGTTTGAATCTCCACCCTCAGTATCAGCCTTGCTATGGATTAAGGAACACTTTTCTTGAGAATCAGCAGGTGAAGGGTTTTCTGTGTAGAACCTCGACTGCATCCTTCTACTTTTCCAGACCAGCTGCCCTAAACATAACAAGAACTTCATGCTTCGTTTCTCAAAGGATCAGTGCCGCACAGAATTTCTTGAKACATGAATAAGCTGGATTGGTTGTTGCAGCTGAGCTGTAAAAGCATAACACAATKTTTTGGGTTTCAGAGAGAGTGGCTGCCAGTAAGTGTGCTGCAATAAGTTACACGAAGCACTTCTGTCATGTTGTAGTTGTGATGGGGCCAGCGTGCCGAGTCCTGCTTTAATTCTAAGCCACAACAATGCTGGCCCCACCTCATGGTTATATTTTACTTCCACCGTGGGCTCCAGTAAGTTGGCCCCAAYATAATAAATCCACTGCATCATTTCTATAGTTTTGTGTATGCTCAAAGGAGGAGCCCACTGCATTTCTAATACATGCCTGAAGACCTCGTCAACACCAGTGTGACAAAAATGGTAAGAAAACGTTTTTTTCTGAGCWTTTATGGGTGTTATTTGTGAGCTATTGCCAGTTTTATTTGATGCTCTGAAATTTGAGTCTCGGTTGCATGTTTGTCAGTGTTTGCTCAAAGATCGTAAACTATAAGAAATTAACCATATAGCCTCTCTGCTCAGCATCATTTCGACTACTTAGTCAAAACTCTGGTGCATGAAAAGAGCACTTCATATTTTCTACACAGGAACACCTCCAAAATGTTAGCTTCTGTTAAAAATRAAAATAACTTGCATAGGATAAATACAGTTTTAAAAATAACAGCTTGTATTTCAGTGATGTTTGTGTGCTGTGTTGTGTTGCGTTGCGTGCGGTACATACGTGCACATACTGTGTCTGAACCGGACCAGGTGAGTCCATACTGACACACTCTGGCAGCGCTGCCCTGCAGCTCGTGGCCTCCGCTGCAGGTGAATACACACGAGGCGCCGTAGTTGTCTCCGTCACTGTCACACTTCATGTAGCCGTTGTCTGGAGGAAACAGCGGACTGCAGCGACGCACTGCACACAAAAAAAATWTGAACCTGGGATGAACACGACACTGATTCATCCTTGTTAAAGAGAGAGTTAACAGAAAATGATGTGTTTCGTCAAAGCCAGTAGCTTTACAATTTTTTCAGGGCACGATCCATGTGAGAAGCTTGTTTAAAACCTGAAAATTAATGTATTATAGTTAAAGAAATCCTTCATTTAATCTAATATAAATTTCCTCCCTGTATTCCTTACAGAGGTTTTGGTTTTCTGTATAAGAAATGTTTTTTAGTTTCTCCCTTAATGCATTGACAGAATTTTTTTTAAATGAGTCACTTCATCTATTCTTCTGCACTAAAAGACTCACCTCGAACTCTGGCAGAGAAACGACAGGTCCCTTTGTTCCCGGCCCGGTCAAACACAGTGTAGGACAACTTATGGAGACCRTCTGGGAAGTCTGATTTTGAAGGTGGTCCTTTCAGGATAACACTGCAAAACCACGAGCTCAGTTTGAATCTTTCATTGGGATATGCATTTTAAAAGAGGATTTAAATGCTTTGAGAGCACTGAAGCAAAAACAAGATTAAAGCTCAAGAGGATTTGTGAAGACTGACTCTGTAAGGATCCCGTCTGCCGTGTCGACGCCCTCAGGTGTGTCCCATGTCACCCTTGCCGTCAACTTCCCTGGTTCTGCCCACTTATCCTTTACATTGGGACACTTGATTTTGGGGGGCTCCAAATCTACGAACAGAAACYAAAACATTGAAATGCTTCTGTTACAAGTCCAGTCTACCCACATCAGAAGAATTATCCTGAGTAAACAGTACAGTGG